ATATATATATATATATATATATATATATATATATATATATATATATATATATATATATATATCTGAGAGAGAGAGAGAGAGAGAGAGAGAGAGAGAGAGAGAGAGAGAGAGAGAGAGAGAGAGAGAGATGCATACCTGATATCTTCCCGACAAGAGCTGACTGCGTGTAGGAGTACATATGGGCTGCACGTAGTAGTTCTCTAACCTTAATCCCTCCAGGGCTAATTTGTCGAGGGTGGGAGTATTGATCTCGGATCCATGGTACCCGATATCATGGTATCCATAGTCGTCCGCCAGCACGAACAAAATGTGTGGTGCTGCACGTGCAGCTTCAGTGCCAGTAGTGGTGAAAAAACTTATGATAGCTAGCAAAACACAGCTCATCCTTGTATTTGTTTTTCTTAGTAAACACCGCTAAGAACTATTATGAATGCACTAAGAACTAACAAGAAACACTTAACAGCGACCTGTTGAATTAAAGCCTTTAAATCATAAGGAATATCGTCTGAACAAATTTATGAAAATGCAAATTTTATTATTATTATTATTATTATTATTATTATTATTATTATTATTATTATTATTATTAATTATTAGTATTATTATGCAGCGGAATCCATAATTATGCACTTCCGGAAATAATTATATTTGGTGTATGGAGGCTGCATTCATTCGAGTCCTCTTTATTACATTTCTTGTTATGGCATTTGGGTAATTTTGAACAAATTTTACGTACTTGTTGACAGCAATGATAATAACAGTTTACTGTACATTGTATACATCCATTTAATTGAAGAGTAAGCTTAAAATGTATCTTACTCTTGATGACGTGGGGCTCCAAATTGGAAAAAAGCAGCAATTCTGAATCCCGAGATGTTCGGCTCTTTCTCGAGAAATTGCGTGACCGTGCAAACCGATATAAATATACCGAGCGTGTGGTTGAGCATCAGTTTCATTAGTGTTACAAACGGAAGATGTTGATAGGGGTTTTTTAAAATCTTTTTGCAAGGAAAAATACGTGAATAATAAGATGACAAATAGATGCGTGACCAGGGCATTTGTCAATAATGTATTTTATCTGCTGCATGGAAAACTTCAAGATGTTCTATAGTCTGCCTATTCATCCCAGTTTGTTTGCAACCCCCACCCCACCACAACCGATTTCAATAACGAAAATGTTTAATGTGATTTTAAAAAAAGTGCACAGAACTAAGTCAATTGAATCATTGATTTATCACTTCTAACCTGACTGTGACCAGAAGGCAATACTACTGGGATCCCATGCACCTTTTATGCTTAACGGTCTTTCCATCCTGTAACGACGCCATATTGCGTACACTATGGGATAGTTTATTTCCATCAGAAAACATAAGACGTAGTTCATTGTATTCAGTAACTGTCTAATAATTATGTAAATTGCCATAACATTGAGAGTTTGGGAGTTTGGAATTTTATCCTTTGCACATATGAACACAGAAATTAAACCGCTTGTCAAATCCACGTGAAACGCAAATTTTTTTGTTGTCATTATTTTCCTTTGCTTGATTCGACATTGTAAATATCGGAAGCAGACGACATATGTATGTACATCTGTAATCGTGTTCACACCTCTTTGCTAAAAGGGACTTGTACGGGAACTGGAAATGGATCTCGAGCATGTCCGTCTATAGACCCCTCTTAATACTATCTCATGAATATTAATGCATGACTCAAAACGAGGCTAACTGAGCATAGCTGCCTTAGCTGCTACAACGTCTATAGTGATATAATAACTACTTCCTACAGTGACAAGAATTTAAATTTAATGTCATCACTTACCTTTTCATTCTTGAAGCTTATGTAAAGTTAAATAAGAAGTCATCTGTTGAAAATTCCATGAACAATGGATTCAAGTATTTCAGTGAAGGATACATCCAAGATCTAAGAGGTAAGTGTTGTTTTCCAATTCATCAAATGGAAATAATTGTTTTGCTGACACATTTTCTTTCCCTCTGTTAAAGTTATTAGCCGTCAGCCCCTAAACAAAATGTTATGTGATGAAAGATTTCCTGCATCAGTTTATATCCTGAACAATCTGTCCAAAATTATATCTCTCCTTATGGTATCATTTTCCCCAAAGATAATTACCAGTTTAATATGATCCAAGTATCTTGATAAGTTTGAGATCTCCAAGCAAATTCAAGGCTAGAATATGTATGGCATTGATGACTTATACATGTTCAACTGCTCAAAGTTTTGTGATACCCAATTTACCTTAATACATTATCAAATAGTTCAAATCAAAGAGTTACATGCAAAATGGGTGTAGAGTAGCTATTATTGTCATTATTATTATTTCAGTGAGACCTAATGATAACGGATTTGAGATGACAGGTAGGTGCTATAGATTTTAAAGGAAAAATAAAATACCACATCAAATTAAAGTTAATTTATTTTAATTTTCAAGCATGAATGATGTCTGATTATGTATGTTGGTTGAAGCATACAATTTACAAGCCTACATTTGGCAGAAGAATAAACCTAAAATTGGACATTTCATAACTTCAATTTTAATCATTGCAGGTCCCATTTAAAGAAATATCGGAGGCTACATCAACATCTGCATTCTGCACTTCCCCCAGTGGGACAAGCAGGATCATGTTGACATATTGTTGGTCTACTCTATCAGCTTGCCAAATACAAAATGCTGGAACAAAGGTCACTTGCAGAAGATATAGCAAAAACATCCTAGTCAGGGACGAAGGCTGTTGAGTTCTTATCTCAGTACAATCAATATGACTCGGGCGATGGATACAAAGCTCTGAAACATATTGGAATTAACTTTAGAATAATCTCTATTGGTAACCAGATAGGAATGGCACAAAGAACAAAAAAAAAAGAAAGTTACCCTAAGTAACTATTTTACAGCTTACGGTTTCTAAAGAACAACTAACACTGAGATCCTGCTCACGAAGACCAGCTTTTAAAACGACAAAGATGCATGAACAATTCATTTATAATGAGCGTAATACATTTTCTACTGCCAGATTAACAGTTTCACTGTTTTTATAGTAGGCACTCTGCTTGGTTTGAGCTGTAAAGAAAGTAGCAAACATGTAGGAGGAAAAACCTGTATTGAATAATATAGAAAACCTATTGAAGCCAACACATTTTATTTTAAAAAGGTTTTTCAGTCTTTCGCATTCTTCCAATTTCTGACGAAGTTTCTCCGACTCTTCTATCCTTGGCTGATATAAGGTTTGTCCTTGATCGTCATTGCCAGATTTGGTTTCTGTGTCAGCAAACAGATCAGTCACAGTTACGTAATTATCCATTCAGATAAATGAAAAGAAGCATCATTGTACAATCCAACAAGTTTATATCATTGTAATGTTAGCCAAACAATAACCTATCTCACCCGTCTTTCAGGAATCTGTTGTCTCTACAATTACTTGTGATGTAATAATGCCTCTCTTAAATTGCTTGCTACAGTGTGGCTATTTAAAGAATCATTTCATTAAAATGTTGCAATCAATTTTTGTGCATTTTGTGTCAATTACTATTGTAATAAATTCATGGTTTAACAGGATCTGAAAAATATTTTCTTGTTGATATTTCCCTCTCATGTTACAGAATATAATCTTAATTATCTTTTTGAAACTGTAAGTGGTTCTTCAGAAGCAAGTAGTTTTATTTTCACTGCTCCAATCAAAGATTAATGGCATTGCTTCAGGGCATAGTCTTTTTTGTACTGGTGTCCATGACTTGTAATCATCCTTTGTAAAATGTTCTGAACACACAATTATTGACTTTGTAATAGAGTCAATGCTAATAAACAAAATAAGTTGCAAACAAGAAAAAATACATAATACTAAGAAGAAATATGTCCGGCTTTTACTAAAATATTGTTATTGAGTAGTAGCTGAAATTTTTTAAAATGTATATGGTAAAAGATAGCAAGTCTTTGGAATGAAGAACTTTTGTATACTGAAAAATAGAAAAAGACAGCTGGAAATTTTTTAATAAAATGAAAAATAAAACATTGCTTCATATTTCAGAAACAAATATTAAAGTGCAAAACTTCATATAAACTTGAGTAAAACTGGATATAATTTAGAATACTTGAAAGAGTGGACCTTCACCTCGTCTTATCTTAATAATCCATTGCTTTTTCAATGTATGATACTTCAGAATTTAATGAAAAATGAAGTGTTCAATCACATCGTGAATCTAGCGTGCAGTGGGGCGCACAACAATGCTGTGTTGATTTTCTGCTAGTATTACTAGTGGTATCCATTAGTTCAGCAGCTTATACTACTGCTTGCTCAGTTAGCTTCGTTCTGGCAATGGAATCTCTGGCATGCATATAATTTGAGATATCTATCCTCGTACTTGTTGCGTGATAATTCATGTTTTCAACACTCAATATAAACAGACAGTTAGTATTGTACATGTCTTCCGTTGAACGTGTTATATAACTATGCTACAGCGGCAAAAATACTACAATCAATTATAATCTTATCCATGAGACTGTCCAGCCGATAAGTCATTAAATAAAATGTTACATCTGTGCTATTTATAAAAGTGATTTAAAACAGACTACATGTGGACAGGTGTCTCTTTTTAATGGTTCGGCTAACAACTGCATGGACCCAAATCTGCCATCGCATTATGCACCAGAGCATTATGCACCAGAAAGATCTGTAACCATGTACACGTTTTTCTTATAACATGTTATTTCTAGCATAGCTTAACTCGTGCCTGGAGCTTATATGTTATGAGTGGAATATGGTGACATTCCGACAATTTATTGTAGGTAAAACAAGTACGTTACTTTGCTAGATACTGATATTTTATTTTCTGATTATAACACTTTGATAGAATTTAATTAAAGACGACAGTTTATGATAACACCTGTTCTGTTGGCTTCATAGTTACTGAAAACTGAGTGCTACTTAAACTCATCATCCGCATTATTCTCTTTTTTAGACATATTTCGTAATATCTCTTCAGCCTTCTGTAACCTCTCCGGTGGCCTAGTGGTTACAGCGTCCGCCTTGGTTGCGTGAGGTCGTGGATTCGATCCCCGTTCGAGTCATACCAAAGACTTACAAAAATGGTACTAACAGCTGCCTCGCTTAATGTTCAGCATTAAGAGGTTAGTGCTAGGACTAGTCGGCCTGCTGTCAGGAAAATGTGACTGGGTGGAACATCATGCTACATTTCTGCGGCATGATGCCACTGTGATAGACATCAATATAAACTGCCAAACTGGAGAAATCGTAGCGATATGACTGAAAAATTGTTAAAGCTACGTTAGAAATAATAATCTCATCAGCCTTCTGTATTTTCTGCCAACGCATAGTGCACATAATTCTGTTTTTCCTCTAACTCCACAAAGTAAACATTGTTTCGGTCCAGTACTGCCACGGCGAACGCTGGCCAAATGTAAACCGCAATAATCACCAAAACAAGATTTACCACATGGTGTGATTGATACAATCAACAGCGAACGACAACTATTATGTGATTTTAGCATATTATATTTTGATTTCTTCTATTTCGAGAAAGTTAAGTTAGAGAAAAGTATTTGTCTTATAATGTAGTATAATAATGAGCAAGTGGACAGAAGCAAAACAACTGATGACTCAGTATTTTAATTTACCGGAGTTAAACCATCATTTCCAAGGTAAAACAAAAAAAAAACATACAAGAAAAATTTAGAAATCAGATTAATCATTGTTAACCCAAAAGGAATTTGAGAGATTGTCTGCTATTGAACCTGAGATAAAACCAGATAGGTTTTCTGAACGCGAACGAAAAAGATAAACCATGATTGAACCAGAATACATAAACAGGTTTGATTTCGATATATTAACGAAAGATTAGAAACGTCCTCCATTTGAGTTACTTTTACATGATTATATCAGAATGACCCAAGATGAGTTTAAACGCGATGGTGTGCTCATGTTTGGTCAACATTCATAATAGGTCAGGAGGGTATTTTGGTTGATTCCAACAAGACTGACGAGCAAGCAAGGACTATTATAATAATCTTACATATGAAAAACGTAACTATTCAGAATAAATTTTGTCGAACGTTATAGGCTAGATGGCCAGACGTGGATTATCTATGATAAATTGACCCTGTTTCACGACGACATAACAGCGTTGTCAGTGGACAAAAATTCTAAACAGGTAGACTGACGGTTATTGATCAGCTGTATTTTTCACGAGCATATCCTAAACGCTCGGGGGATCTTTTTTTACGCTATCGTTTAAACGATCCTGATATTATTGCTCTTCAACAGATGAAAACGGGTACGTGTAATATGCGGCTCAAAGTGTCAGAGAACATTTTTGTAAATGGAGACGAGGAGAGAAGGTCGACTTACAGAGTCAAGAATATTTCATAGTGATGGTCAATCAACATTTGATCAGTTTGTGCTACCATCTGGTGTACGCTCTCCAACACACGATGAAACAAACTAATAAAATTTATCAACGACGCGGTGGCAGAACTGCTGCTTGTGTCTGCGATTCCAACACCAATATAGATGAATTACTCAATAACTGGCATAGAGCACAACAAACAAATTCACGGCGTCGACGATTTATCCCGATCTTGTGCCGAGTATAGACGACTTGGGCATACAAAATATAATCCATCCGATATCATGTCAGTTGACAATGTGCCGAGTATGGACGTCTTGGATATACAAAATATAATCCATTCGATATCATCTCAGTTGACAATGTGCCGAGTATGGACGTCTTGGGTGTACAAAATATAATCTATCCGATATCATCTCAGTTGACAATGTGCCGAGTATGGACGTCTTAGGCATACAAAATATAATCTACCCAAAATCATTTCAGTTTACAATGTGGCATTTTATCCGGTGCGTTTTCTTGGATATGACGAATGGCAACCGTATTTTGAATGTTTTGGTCATCCATCCACTGCCAGAAGTGGATATAACTGGATTTGTCGAGAATGAATCATTCGAGGTTTCAGGAAATGCTTATCCTGTCATACCTATCTGATTTGGTCGACACTTTGATAAACAAGATACCAGTGTTAATTTCAATGACTGTTGTGCAAAAAAAAAAAGATCAACGGGGCTGGGCTCCAAAGGTTAATAACAATATGTGCTTGATGCGAAGATTGTCACGGCGTTAGCTATAGCATCTGCGACAATATCATATAGGCCCTCGAAGACAGTTTGACTACCGCGTAATGATAAAGATATGTGCAGGAAAATTATTGGTCAACTTAATTGGAGTTGGTGTCATCTAAGAATAAACGCCATTGTACAAGATTAATAATGGATCCGGCAGAACTAGATTTTGTGATTGTAAATACAGTGTCGCAAGGAATATTAGTGTCGTGTATAAGGACAACTTTACACGACGGTACATATATTGACACAATAATTAACTACCACGATGGTGATTCTCCGCAGTTTACTCACATGAGATCTTCGATCCTCAATAAACCGGTTATCGACGATCAACATCATTTTTTTCTTTGCAAGAATTTAATAAAGAACAATATTATAATTTTTAATATGTGCATGAGAGAAGACATAATAAAACAAAACAAGTAAATAAAATAAATATCTGAGATATATGCAAACGTTCACCTACAAAGTGAGCTGGATATAAGCAATTCTTGAAAACACGTTTCGGTTGAAAGCATTCTTCTGTTCTGCAGAAAAAAATTGCCTCACTATATTTAAGCGCAAGTATTTGAATTCATACATGTACGAAGCTGCTTTATTATGCGACACCTTTGTCCGTCGTGGAAGTTTTTATAGATTCCATACTAAGTGTATTGTTTTCATACTACGTACGAATGTACGTTATAAATCAACCTTATGACTTTTTAAGAATCAGATTGTTTCTCTATATTCAGTTAAGCATTACATATTTCTTGCTTGTCTGCGTAGCACTGGATCTCATCAGCTTTGTTGCTAAGCCAAGTGCCTCGCATCTTACGAAGTTTTTGCTGAACAGTTCTGCGTATGTGGATGAATGCATGTTTACTGGAGGTGGAATTGGGGTTGTTGAGGTAGGTTTGATGGAGGCGGTGTTTCGCATCCAGCAACTGCTCGATCTCAACGCAGTTCTCATCAAACCAGTCTTGGTGCTTTCTATTTGAGGGTCCTAGGATTTCTGAAGCTGTGCTGTAGATCAACTCTCTGAATGCCGCCCATTCGGTCTCCACATTCTGATTTACCTGAGGGTTGGATTTCAGACGTTCTTCCAGTGTATCTACGAGTAACTGTTTGGTACTAGAGTGTTTCAGCTTGGTGATGTTCAGTCGTTTAGGAGCCTTCTTTCTCTGTGGGCGTATTTTGGGTTGAATGCGGATGTTGAGCTCGGTGATGATGAGGCGGTGGTCTGTTCAGCAGTCAGCGCCACATAAGGACTTCGTCACACGCACATCCTGTATGTCCCTCTTCCTGACAATGCCATAGTCGATGAGATGCATGTGTTTAGAGCGTATGGGTGATCAGCAGTTCATGTCTGGAGTAGGAGGATTTCATTGCTGGCTGTTACATTAGCCAACTCCGTGTTTTCCTGGCACCCCATACCAGGCAACGTGGTCATCTTGACATGAAGAACTTCTACAATGACCTGAAAGAAGTGTATGGTCCTACATCCTCTGGATCATCACCCTTTCTCAGCGCAGATGGTAACACTCTAATTACTGACAAAGAGAAGATTCTTAGACGATGGACAGAACATTTTGACAGTGTCTTGAATCGCCCTTCATCCATCAACGATGAAACCATCAACCGTCTCCCTCAATTACCCATCAACAAAGGACTGGATGACCCTCAAACCTTATTTGAGACATTGAAACCGATTTATCTGCTCTTCAGTGGCAAAGCTCCCGGCACAGATGCCATCCCAGCAGAAGTCTACAAGGAATGGGATACAGCCCTGATTGAAAGGCTCCCGAACTTTTTTACTGATGTGTCAGCAAGAGACAATTCCGCAGGAATTCAAATATGCGTCAATTATCCCCCTGTATAAATGCAAAGGAAACTGACAGGTCTTCGACAACCATCTGCGTATTTCCTTGCTCTCAATCGCAGTAAAGATGCTCGTCAGAATCCTACTAAACCACCTCACTGTGCACCTTGAGCAGGGACTCCTGCCTGAAAGCCAGTGTGGATTCCTGGAAAAAAGTGGAACTATTGACATGGCGTTTGCTGCAAGGAAGCTACAAGAGAAATGTCAAGAGAAAAACGCTGACATATTCTCCATCTGCACCGACTTGAAAAAAAAGGCTTTTGATACTGTCAGCAGAGAAGTATTATGGAAGGTAATGGCCAAATATGGATGTCCAAAACATTTATATCCATGGTTCAGCAATTCCACGACGGCATGCAGGCGAGAGTCTAGAAAAATGGAGAGTCATCTGAATCATTCCCAGTAACCAATGGTGTCAGGCAGGGTTGTGTTCAGGTTTTTTTTTCTCCGCCATGCTGACTAATGCTTTCAGAGACGGAGATGTTGGAGTGGGCATCAGGTACAACACAGATGTAAAACTGTTCAACCCCAGGAGGCTACAAGCGAAAACCAAGGTTATGACAGACAACATCATGAAGTTTTTATTTGCTGATGATTGCGCCTGCTCAGAAGCAGACCTGCATTGTATCGTTGACAAGTTCTCCAGTTCTTGCACAAGCTTTGGTCTCACCATCAAGACCAATAAGATTGAAGTACTGCATCAGACAGCCCCGGGAAAGCCCTATGCTGAGCCCAACATCACACCGTCAACAGCCAAAAACTCAACGTAGTGAACCACTTCACCTACCTTGGCAGCACACTTTCACAGAGTGTAACCATTGACGACGAGGTAAACCTCCACATTGCCAGAGCCAGCGCAACTTTTGGCAGATTATATGCGAATGTCTGGAATAGAAGAGACATCGGCATCTGGACCAAACTAAAGGTCTACAGGGCAGTTGTAATCCCCACATTACTCTACGCATGTGAAACGTGGACGGTGTATCAACACCATACCAGGAAGCAGAACCACTTTTACACTACAAGCGTCAGGAAAATAATCAACATCAAATG